TTTATTGGCTAAATACTGAAGAATTTCAATGAAATTATTAATTGATGGATTTGATAGGATAATGGGTAACATACTAGGTCCACTGCTTCCAAATGACATATATAAATCATCTCTATGTGTTCCATCATAACAAGTAAAGAGAAAATGAGTTCCTTGTGACTTGTTGAAATTATAAATGCTGTTTGTGATTGCTTCTAAAAGCCTGCCTTCATCATTTTGGAAAAAAATATTTGTTTCAGTAATGTGAAACATTGTGAGTAATTGGTTGTGATCTGATTTCTCATGAAGGACATGATCAAGTACAGTTTTGAGATTGATATCCTTCAAGTGTAAGCCATATGATTCAAGATAATATTCTAAATCATTTAAGAACAGATGATATTCCCTTCCATTAATTGATTGATGTAGGATCCTTAATACTATGACTGACTCTGTATAATACTGATTAATCAGCATCCTTTCTGTATGGTCTAATGCTGAACTTAAAACATCCCAAGCAAACACCCTTCCACTAAAAATCTCTTGTAATTGCTTGTTCTGCTCTATCACTGACAAAAACCACGTTGTATAAATGTTGTTTTCCCTATTCCTGGTGCTCCAGCAACCACTAGAGTTTGGTATAATCTTTTGAATGATTCAAGAGCATCTGTATGACAAAAATTAGGATGATGATTATGTAATCGGTTCCAAATCTTGATATTATCAATAATACATATCTCTAACATTTTCATTTCCTTTTCTCTACCAACAAAAGGAAAACAGTCGTCAATAGCTGTAAATAAAATATCATCTGAAAGTTCAAATGGGCCAAGTGCAAAGCTATTGAGATGGCAATCATTTGATGGTTTATACTTGGAAAGTACTTCAGCAACATCATACTTCACTTTTTTTGTTATCTGCTTTTAGGTATAAATGTAAAATGAACAGTAACAGTAATAGATGCATGTACAAGAGAACGGAAAAAACCACAAAGATATAATAGTATACCAAACAAACAAATAAAACAAAATGGACGAAAAATAATTTTTTTGTATATCTTTTTTTTTTAAGCAATTTGTTCATTACCTTTTTCTTTGTCATATTCTAACAACTCATCCTGCAACTTCTCTACTTGTTTCAACCTATCTTCCACCTTCTTCATCAACTCTTCCTTTTCTGTTTTTAAGTAACTAAACAACTCCACATCATGCTTTTTTGCCTCTTCTCTCAACAACTGATCCAGCCTCCCTCCCCAATTCTCTTTCCACTTCTTCAATTTTTTCTTTCGCCTCTTCATGTTATCTTTTAATTCATTTTTAATTTCTTCAACTGTTGCCATTTTTTTATTGATTTACGTGTAGATCGTAATTGTTACGATTAATTGTTTCTATAAATAATTTTTGGACCAATGATAAATCAGTGGGCACATGACTTGAAATTTAAAAAAAATCAAGTTAAAGCACTTGCATGGGAAGAAAATACTCGGACCCAAACCCATTTATAAGTATTACCTATTATTTGGGCACTCTGACAAAAATTCAACTTTCACTATTACTACTATAATATTATTACTATTATTGATAATATCATTATTAATATTTGTATCTTTGTTTTCATTATCTTCGTAATCTTCGCTTTTCTTTGTTTATCCATCCCTGAATCGCCTCTATCGTTTTCCTTCTTGGATTTGTTTTTCGTTGGTAGGAGTTTTTTAATGGCCATTCATTAAATGAAAAATCAGGATTTAACTCAGTCTATTTTATCAAATAACTGTTTGAAATTTGTCCATAGATGTTCGATTTCTTTTGAGTATTTTTTATCATTAGTAAGTTGATTTGTTTTATTTTAAGTTGTTTCCTTCTTGGTTCTATTTTATCAATTATTTGATCAATTTTTTGATTTATAATAGAGAACTGGTTTTGATAAATTTTATAGTGAAGCAAGAAACCAAGAAAAAGTCCAATTAACAACCCACAAAAAAGTTCACAGTTGAAAGTAAACATTTTTTTAAACGTTATTATGGATGAAAATATTGTGTAAATATTTACTGATTATTTGATTGTTTTTTAAACCGAAATAAATTGTTTAATGATAATTAATAGGAGTTGTTGCTTGAATTTTTTTTTTACCTAAAAATAAGTGAACTGGTGATGCTTTTATAATGTTTCAACATAAGGCAGGTTTATTACAAAAACAAAGATTCATTTAAATGCATAAAGCTCATAAATTTTCTATGATGCAATATGGCAATCATCAATATTACATTTACATAGATGAGTCAACCTTTGTATATTTTCTTTCTTTAATTAAAGGACCAATTATAAGTAACATGAATTCCTGGAACAATAAAGCTTCGATTTTCTTTTCAAGATATAGGTTCATTATTTTGTGTATGTGTTACATTGGTCAATATTATCTAACAAATTATGTTAAAAATTTTTATTTTATTTTGACTATTAGCAAATCAATATAAGTTTAAACCCATAAGTATTTGGTATACTTACTACTAGTTCAAATGTCTTGGAGTATTTTTTTTTTTTTTTCAATTATTCTGCTCTAAATAAAGTAACACTAAATTAAGAACATGCTAATACTTACTTTTGAGCTTTATTGAATTATCAAAAATAAATTAAGTATTAGCATCATCAATAGGGCAATGGTAATAAGAAAGATTTGGTATATATTCTTGAATAAGTAACACAAGTGATAAATGAATCGATTTATTAGTTAGGGTTATAATTAAAAAAAAATATTATCACAATTACACTTAAATTTTAAACCCTGTAATGTGTGATATAATGTTCACTTTGTTTGCAAGCATGCCCCATATTTTCTTTTCTTCCAATAATATAAGGATAATAATAAAAACCTTATTTGAACTTTATTTTTATCCCTTTTTTTTTATTTTTAAGTGACTTTCGTCATATGATCATTAATTGATTATTAAAATAAAATATCAATATTATCATTATTACCAAAAAAGATGTCTTCAAGTGACACTACTGCCTTTTCACTTTCTGACAATGACAGCAATAATAAGATAATTATCAATAACAATAATGGTGGTGGCAGCAATTCAAATAATGACAATGTAAAGCCATGTTGTGCTTGTCCTGACACAAAAAAGGCTAGGGATGAATGTATATTTAAATATGGAGATGAAACAAAATGTCAAAATTTAATTGAGGCTCATAGGATTTGTATGAGAAGTTTTGGATTTAATATTTAAGAAGAAAAAACTTCCATTTTGTCTTTTTTCTTCCACAAAATTAGCAATTAAAAGGTGGTAATGAATGGAGTAAATCAAGTATGTAGCAATTAATTACATTATTTATCTATATGTGATTATTATTAACGCATTTGTTTATATTTTTTCCAATATATTTTTTTAGGAACATTTAGCAAATTTCCATTTGTTTCATTTACAATTAAATAGAAAAAAAAAAATAAAATAAAAGATTTTTTACAAAAATCAAAATTAGCTCTAAATCTGATTTACACCATCATTGCTAAAATCTTGTCTATAGATGAATTCTTCCAAATAATAATTATTTTCAGAGTGACAACTATCTTTGCAACTATAAATTAATAATGTTCCCCAATCAAGTGAATCAAGTTTTGTGTGATCTATTTTAAGATAATTTAATAAGGTTGATAATACTTGAAACTCGAATGTTCTCTCTTGTCCACAATTTGAACACTTTGGTATAATAATATTGTTTTCACCAGGTTTATCATTATCACTTACCCATAATGGGTCTGGGTTTTTATCATCTTCATGCAACCTTGAATATCTAATAATGGGAGGAGGTAATGATATTTATTAGCACCTTAAAATTTTTAAATAAAAAAATTAAATAAATCAATACCTTAAGATTTGTTTAGGAAACAATTGAATTCTTTTTTGAAATTTTAAAAAAGCTTTATCGACTTTAACTTTACTATTTTCATAAATATCGTCAAATTCTTCACTAGAATCCTTTTTTGGTAACAATGATAAATATGATAAATTTTTTTCTTCAACATTATCGATTTCTTCTGGTTCAGTGATAATTTCATATTCAGGAAATAGTATTTTTTGGCTGCATATTTTATTATTATTTTCTTCTTGATGATCATTTGTTGTTCTACTACTACTATTATCATCATTTTTGTTATTATTATTAAGATTATTAGAACAATAATTTTTGTGTTTTCCAATATTCCAATGATTTATTTGATGTTCTCTTGAACAATAACAACTCATTCCACACTTCCCACATTCTTTTGACCCTAATAATCCACAAACCACACATTGTTTGACTAATTAAAAAAAAAAAATTTCTTAAATAAATATTCTAAATTGAATAAAAGAAAATTTAAACAATTTTTTACCATCTTCATTTAATGTGTCATTTGAAACTCTTTTTGAAGATTCATCATCATCAATATTCTTGTCCTTATTATTATTTTCATTGTTATTGTTATTGCTGTCATCATCAAATTCAATATATGGCCAATATGGATTATCTTTTGGTAATTGATTTCTATAAACTTTAAAACTTTATTTTCAAAAAAAAAAAGGCTTTTTTAAATTTTGAGAAAAAATAATAAATAATCAGAATACACACAAACCATTTATGCCAATCTTGTTTATGACATGATCCATTCTTACAACAAAAAATATAAATCATACGATGGAATGCTTCTGGTAGTTGATCTTGATCTTCTGGTGCATAAAGCTACATCAATTAAAAAATTTGTATTTTTTTAATATATATAATTTACACAATTGTCCAATCTATTAATTGATTAATTAATTGAGACATCTTACTTGAACCAACAGTATCATTGGTCTTTCACATATACCACATTTAACTTGTTCAAATGATAATATATGTTTAGGATTTAGCCATGCCTTAATTTTATCATAAATCATAAATTATTACTATGATATATATATATATATATATATGAGTACATTTTAAATAATTCAAAAAAAAGCATGATTAACTGGTTTTCCTCCAATTTTACTTGGAAATATGTCAGATGTTAAAGGTACTTCAGAAAGTTCTGCAAAGCCAAGTTCTACTGGTACTGTTGTTGTAGTTTCCATAATAATTTTTTTAAAATGTATTTTCCTTTTTTGTCTGTATCAACGTTGATCATTGTAAAAAATCTTCGATTTCCTTTGACAAATAACAATAATAATAATGTCATCTGTTATAAGAAATCAAAAAAAGTTTTTTTTTGAATCGATCAGCAACGTGTCACTTTGATCCGTTTTTAAAATAATTTTAATTCGAGCAAACTATGTAATACAAAAAAACTTGTTTTAAACAAACCAATTGTAGTTTTTCTATTTAAACAACATTTTTATTTATTACATTTAATTTATTTAAAGAATTTTGTCAATTCCATTTTAATTCAAATGGCATGGAATCAAATGAAAAGTTCTTGATGATGACAGAATAGAAATTCCTGCATAGAAACACAAAAATATAGAATCTTTTATAAAAGAAAAACAAGTGAGAACGTTAACAAAGAACAACCAAAAAAACCAAGTAAATATTTACTATTTTTTTGCCTCTATTTTTTTTAGGAATACAACTTAATATATTTTTTTTAAATATCTAGAATGTCCTTGTCCAACTTCTAAGGTGACTGATCATTCATGTTATTTGAGCAGCCATTGTAAATTTCAAAACATCATGAATCCAAATATGTTTCAGGAAAAGGCACAAAATACAAACAATGCACAGTCTAGAAAGATAAAGACCTTTAGCCTGCAATCCAAAGTTCTGTTGAAAGAATTACTTGAATTGTTTTGCTAACCAAACAGCATTTTATCATATGGCCCTTGGTGATTAATTTCTTTTTAACACAAGCAAAGGCGCTTTAAGTATATGTGGCAATGTTTCCAAGCTGTAACTACATACCATTGATGCCACCAAAGAACCCATTATAAATGACAGTTGAGCTACCCTCTACACTCAATATCAACCTTGAGGAATGAATTGGACAAATGAAAATCATTAGGACAATTGGAAAACACAAAAATTATTGTTCTAATAATCTTAATAATAATAACAAAAATGATGATAATAGTAGTAGTAGTAGAACAACAAATGATCATCAAGAACAAAATAATAATAAAATATGTAGCCAAAAAATACTATTTCCTGAATATGAAATTATCACTGAACCAGAAGAAATTGATAATGTTGAAGAAAAAAATTTATCATATTTATCATCGTCACCAAAAAAGGATTCTAGTGAAGAATTTGATGATATTTATGAAAATAGTAAAGTTAAAGTTGATAAAGCTTTTTTAAAATTTCAAAAAAGAATTCAATTGTTTCCTAAACAAATCTTAAGGTATTGATTTATCTAATTTTTTTATTTAAAAATTTTAAGGTACTAATAAATATCATTTACCTCCCACTATTAGATATTCAAGGTTGCATGAAGATGATAAAAACCCAGATCCATTATGGGTAAGTGATAATGATAAACCTGGTGAAAACAATATTATTATACCAAAGTGTTCAAATTGTGGACAAGAGAGAACATTCGAGTTTCAAGTATTATCAACCTTATTAAATTATCTTAAAATAGATCACACAAAACTTGATTCACTTGATTGGGGAACATTATTAATTTATAGTTGCAAAGATAGTTGTCACTCTGAAAATAATTATTATTTGGAAGAATTCATCTATAGACAAGATTTTAGTGGCGATGGTGTAAATTGGATTTAAAGCTAATTTTGATTTTTGTAAAAATCTTTTTATTTTATTATTTTTTCTATTTAATTGCATATGAAACAAATGGAAATTTGCTAAATGTTCCTAAAAATATATCAGGAAAAATAAAGACAAATGCATTAATAATAATCGCATATAGATAAATAATGCAATTAATTGCTACATTGATTTACTCGCCAATCACCCCATTCATTACCACCTTTTAATTGCTAATTTTGTGGAAGAAAAAACAAAACAGGAGTTTTTTTCTTAAATATTAAATCCAAAGCTTCTCATGCAAATCCTATGAGCCTCAATTAAATTTTGACATTTTGTTTCATCTCCATATTTAAATATACATTCATCCCTAGCTTTTTTTGTGTCAGGACAAGCACAGCATGGCTTTACATTGTCATTATTTGAATTGCTGCCGCCACCATTATTATTATTGATAATTGTTTTATTATTGCTGTCATCATCAGAAAGTGAAAAGGCAGTAGTGTCACTTGAAGACATCTTTTTTGGTAATGATGATAATAATAATAAATGGATATATTTTTATTTTTAATAATCAATTAATGATCATATGATGAAAGCCACTTAAAAATAAAAAAAAAGGGATAAAAAATAAGGTTTTCATTATTATACTGAACACTACTACCTTTATCCTTATATTATTGGAAGAAAAGAAAATATTATGTTATTTATGCTTTCCGCAATTTTCCGCCTATAATAGATTTCTATATTGGACCAAGTCCAATATTTGATTTCTAGAATATTCCTGATTTAATGTGTCAGATGATTATGCGCGGTTTTTACTATAATAAATAATGATGATGTTTATTTATTGTATGTATAACAAGAGATATTAGTTGTTATAATGACGTAGATGCTGTGTTCTTGTGAAAAACAATACATGTGTCGTTGTCGTATAACCAACAGATTTACTATTATTATTATAATGAAATAAAAAACAGTCAATTGTTAACAAATAATTCTCCAAAATTCAAACATTAATTATATTTTCTCTATCCATTAATAATGTATTATTATAAATAAAACAACGACAGTTATTATTGTTACATTACATATTTAGCGAGAAAGGAATTGGTCAAATCTTTCAATAATTGATCTAATTAAAAATAACATTTGATATTTTATTTAAATATTTATTATTACTACTTTAATCCAATTCTATTTTATTTATATCTATCATAAATTGTTTGACAAAATAATTAAATTTTCCCGAGTTGCATGTTTATTTACAATAAAAGTAAATAAAATGAATAGTAGTTCATTATACAGTTTGTAAACTAAAAATATTATAAAATCGACAAGATTCCGCTCTCTCAAAAAAATTTTTAATTGATTTATTTGTTTTACAATATTATTCATCAAACAATATTATTATAATAAATAATAAATCAATAAAATATTTATTTAAAAAAATTTAAGGTAATTTCAAATACTTCATTTAAATTTTTTTGATAAAAGGCACCAATTCAAATTACAGAGAGTGTCAGTAATGACTTAAAAAATGATCTTTCTTCCTGATGGTTCTAATAAATCTATTTCTAATAAAAAAAATTTAACAAAAAAAATTTGAAAAAATTATTATAATACTTAAAGCTGCAGTAAGCAGCATGGTATATTATATACTGTAGCAACAGACATTATATAATTTACAATATATTTTATTAATCTTTTAATTTTTTATCATCTTTTTATTTTTATTATTTTATTTTAGATTTTTCTTTTGCCAAAAAGTAAAAAAAAGTAAAGCCAACGACATTTTAAAAACAACAACAACATCAATTAACGACATGTAATTATTCTCAAATAAATTTATTAATCAACTTAATGCAAAAATTAATCATTGATTATTTTATTTCTCTCCTCATCCTTCGTATTATTTATATACAGGAGTCCAGGTGTTCATAATAAGCAATTAGTTGAAGTCACTACAAAACAAAACGTTGTTAAAATTCCATCAAAGTCTATATCAACTACTACTACTAAAACCACCAATAAAAATTCAACAACAACAATAGTTGTCGATTCAATTAAAAATTCGGCTACCAAAGATATTAAACAAGATGAACAAGAAATAGTCGAAGTTCCAATCTCGGAACCATTTAACTCATTTTTAAATCTTAACACTCACGACACCATCTCACCTTTAAATATCAAGATGTACACTTGTCCAAATTGTCATACTCCAAATTCAGTTAATGTTGTTAAAAATGATGATAATAATTCAGCTAATGGTGATTATTATACTTGTTTATCTCACGGAAATTATGGTTGTGGATGGAAAGGTGAACATCAACCAAATGAAGAAAATATAGCAAAACATGTATTTTCAATTATTGGATTTAAACCATTAATAATTAATTAATGTGTTTTTGCTTATCCGTTTATATGAATTAATTTACAATTTTTTTTTGGATAAAATAAAGAAAATGCTGTAATAAATAAAATTGATTAATATTAATATCGTAAATATGTAAAGACAACATTTATTACATTCCAAAATGCTCTTTTATCTAAAATTACTGAAACTTTTATTTTATGACTTTATTGCATTATTATGTTTCATTTATATGTGGAAAAGAGTAATTATCAAGGTGTGGGAAATCCCTCGGGTAGGAAAATATAGTGAAAACGACCGTATACAAGTAAAAGTAGATATCTATTAAGTGGTAATGATATATTATGTAGAGAAAAAACAGCATTGAAGAACTTGAAAAGAGGTTATAAAGTTATTCTATATTAAACGCGGCAAATAGAAAGCAGACAAAGGAAAATAAACATTTTGGAAATAGTCTTGAAATTATAATTGATCGTCACGTACGATCATTTTAAGTTTGTATAGAAGTATAAAATTTTTCATCATCATTAAGTGTCACACAGAATTGTTCATTAATTAACAATTCGTCCAAGAATGTACATAATAAAAAGCGGAGGATACTAACCAAATTTGCTTATCGAACATCTTTGCTTAAAGAAAAAAAGTTTACTATGGGGATGCTATAGACCAAATGTCGATTATTCATAGCCAGATCGCCAATTTTATTATTTTGCTGTTATTCAATTAATTTCATTGTTTATTAAGAGGATTAGTAATGAATCACAAGGTAGCCTGCCGTGAATGAGTCAGAGCATCCCAAGTCTGTTAAATATAATACAAAAGGTATGTAAAGGTTGACAATGGAATCTTTGATAATAATATTTTACAGGGCATGAATAATATATTCGATTTCAAGATGCCGACTAATTTGGCTTTACCAATTATAAAGAATAAAAGAAATTTTCATTCAATAATAAAAATAATAACGCGAGCCGGGATTATTATAACACATTATTTGATACTTCCCAATGTTAAATTTGAGCAAATACGTTCGTATAATGAAAAACATTATGGCTCAATATTTTCTCAAAATCACTTATTTCTATTTATAGAAATAGAATCAATGGAATAGTGATTTTATTTTTAGCACCAAACAAATATGTTTCATCTCATCGATAATACACTTTTAATTTTATTAAAGAAATTTGATCAATTATCTGATATCTAATTGAATATTACTATTAGCAAAACATTAGTATACTTTGTAATCATAATACTTTCATCATTTCCGTATTCATGTATTTTATCATAACCATCGTCTTTGCTTTCTTCTTTTCTTCCTTAATTATTTCTTTTAGAATTATTGGTGAATATCAAGGCTGGTTGCGTAACCCTAAACAAAACTTTAATATTAGTCACTTTTGGCGAAACCAAAACTAGTGAATAAAGTTTCGTCAGCTGACTAACAGGAAATGCGGACAAATTTTACTAGGATTATCCTATTACTATACGAGATGAAATAGGATAATCTATGCGGGTTATATAAGGACTCCGGATTATTATAATTGAGGTAACATCCAGGTTATATATTAGTAAATTTTAGAAAACTACATATCAAAATTAAAAGTTTCACCCATATGAGACATGTGACTTCATGTGTAACCATTGAAATACATTTTTATCTAAAGAACTAAGAAAACCATATTAATATAGTTGTTGATGTTTTTTAAATAAACCCATATCTGAACAATAATTTAGTGTTAGGATTAGTAATAAGAAGAGTCATTAGAAAATTTACTTAAATGGAAAAGAACATAAAACTTTTTATATTAATATCAATTACAATTTAACCCTTGCCTATTTTTCTATTATAAATTTTTTTGCTTTACCAATAATTTCATATTGATATGACATAAAATTGCTTTACCTGATTTTGGATATGACTTAGAGTAAAAATTTTCTACTATGCCCAAAATAGTCACACCACTTATTACCAAATTTTCATTAGCAAAAAAACTTATTCAAAAATCAGATGTTAATTATAATAATCCGGTTTTCCGATGAAAAAATAGTAATAATAGGAACCGAATTTATGTTGCAACCGGTTTCAACCTCTATTCGTTATCTGATTTATCTTTTTAACATTTCTAGCTTTTCCCAAATGTGCAGTTTGCTGTTAGCAATGTATTTATTGCTGATTGCTTACAAAAAATATGATGATGGTGGTTTTTTTGAACTGAATTTTGTAATTTGTTCTATTACGTGTTTAGAAGATCTTTCACTAAACAAGAAAGATCATCTTGTGCCAAATTTCATTTTTGATAGTAAAATCGTGCAACTTCAATAAAGCTTTTTTTTTATTAATATTAATAAAACTGAAAAAAAACTATTTCATTGTTGCTTAGTTTCTAAAGATTGCAAAAATAGAGAGTTTTTTCAATTTTATTAATAAAAAAAAAATGCCTTAGTGGTTTGAAGTTGCACAATTTTTTTGATGTATATATATATTCATCATATCCTCTCATTATTAATTTATTTTTTTGAATTAAAAAAGGAAAAGGGAAAAAGACATTTTTATTTTTATTTTTATTTTTATTTTTTGGATATCTTTAGATGACCTGCATCATATGTATAAAATATTGTGCGCGCAGCGACCAATATCATGACATCCTGGATGTCACTGAAATTGTCCAATTTCGATGTTATCGGACGATCACTATTAAGCTATTCTTTCAAATGTCACTGTTTATTAAAGTTTAATTATATGATTTAATTATATCTTATAGAAATGTTGCATAAATAGTATATCAATCATACTGACGTCATTTTGTACCTAAAATAACAAAGCAACCAAATATAGCTTAATAGTGCTGTCTGCCCGATAATAAATCGATAATAACAAAAATTTGTTTTGGAAAAAAAAAATATGCTGTGATATGTTTTTTTAAAATTATGGTCATATGATTTTTATTGATCTTTACACATATTCGTCAATTATAAAAACATACTATCAACCATTAATTAATATTTTTTCTTTAAATATTATTACATGAAGAGAAGAGAATTTGAAATTTATTATTATTAATTAAAACTTTGGGATGGGGTGTCTGGGTACAAAATTTTGATTGGCTAATTAGGGATAAATATTTCGTTATTAATAAAATATTAAATACATTTAAATGATAAATAAATAAATCTATGATAAATTACCAATCACTCCGCTTTTTTAATAAAGCTTGGATTTCTTTTCTTTGTTTTTGCCATACAAATTGACAATTTTATTCCTTCAATGAAAAAGAATCCTCTCTCGATAGCAGTATCATATGATGTCTTATTTGCGAACGTTACAAATGCACATCTCTTAATAATCCAATTATTTATTTTTATGGGAGGAAGAGTATGCGAGAAATAAATGTTAGCAAACATAAACCAGATTGTGTGAAAAAGTTTAAAGTGGAAACAAAGAAAATTTATACCTTATTATATATGCAGTCAATTTCAACAACGCTTCCAAATTGTTCTTCCAATGTTGACTCTAACCTTGATTTAGGTATAGTATGCAAAAGATTACCAACAAATGCGCGGTTATCTATTAACAATTTAAAATTTTAATTTTTATTTGTTTTTTGAATTATTTTTCTACAAGGGATCAAAAAAAATCCAAAACATATAAATACCTAATTTTTGTTGTTCCGGATAAATCCATTCAGTATCTTCATTTACACTTAAATCAATCAAGTTATCTGCCAGAACATCACTATTATCCGTTGTAGAATCATCTGAAGAATCAGAATTATCTATAATATAATTTAAACATTTTGAATTTTTCTCTACTAATTTAAAAATAAAAATAAAAAAACTCTTATTTCTTTATTTCTTAGCAAAGTTATAAAAAACTTTACCATCACTGCTACCCTGATTGTTACCGAAGCTTAGAAAATTAAATTGTTGGGGTGATATTGGTGGTGGTAAATTATTATGTTTTTGTGTTGGGGGTTTTGGTGGTAAATTTTCTTGAAGATTTGATCTTGATGGATGTTGTCTTAAATTTTTCCTTAAATGTTCTGCTGATATTCGTTGCTGCTGCTGCTGCTGTCGTGGGTGTAGTTGCTGTTGTGGCTCAGGCTGTTGCTGTAGCAGTTGTTTTATATCTTCTACTGTTGTTGACTGTTTTTGTTGTGGTGGTAGCCATGATTGTTTTTCTATTTCTTCTACAGCTAATAAATTTTGTTGCTGTTGCTGTTGCTGTTGCTGTTGCTGTTGCTGTTGCTGTTGCTGCTGTTGTGCTTGTGCTGGAGTTAATAGTCTAAATAGCTGGAGTAATTCTTGTTGGGCCTTGATCAAATTGTCTTGTAGTTCAGCTATTTTTTCATTTTTTGACGCTAATAAACCATCTTTTTGTTTCACTTGACTATTTAAAAAATCACAATTTTTACAAGTATTATTATGATTATTATTGTAATGACGAGGCGACATATTTTTTTTTAAAAATAAAAAAAAGTTGTAACACTTGAACATAATGGACATTCTTGTTGATCGTAACGTGATTATTGAGAATTGATCTGTGTACCGTTTTACGAATATATTGAGTACATTGTACAGCCAGCTAATAAAATGTAGGTCTTTCTCAATATATATGACCATTCAAGAAAACAAGACATTCTAATGTTCTAATGGTTAAAACTAAGAATAATTCGCTAAGCAAAAAAAAAATTCTTATTGCAAAACTTCATAGTGACACAAACTAAGGCTTTTTAGTCCGAAGATTCTTTAGTAAATGGGGGCTGGGAGACATAATAATAATAATAATAATAATAATAATAATAAATATTATGTAAATATTAAATTTGGTCAGAAGACCTCGGAACCGGTTTACCCCAAATAACAGTAGTACAGCTCGAGTCATCTGGTCCTGACCGCATATTGATCAGCAGAAAGATTTCGTGACAAATTTAACACAAAAAAAACATTTTACTTGATTTTCTGGATTTATAATTGGAGTTTTAGTTGGTTTGTTGTTTAACCATTATCTTCTGGCTTTCTTTTTTGCTTGTGCAGCTAGTTCGTAGTATATTTCCCAAGTAAACAGAATGATTTACAGGATACTTATAATTCATTCTGAAGAACGACTGCGATTTAGAATCTAACTAAATCTGTATCCATCAACTTTACTTCACTATCACTATCGTGAAATAATAATTTGTAGATCATGGAAAGCTTGTCAGAAGATAAGAAAAAAATCAACACGGAAATATTTCAAGAGTTCAATTTAATAGTTACTCAATCAACGTAATGAACCAATAAAAATAATTAACTCACGGAAATTGTCATGAAGGATTATAATTTACGTCATTTATTTAATTCTAAATTCTATTTAAAAGAAAGAATTTAAAATCATTCATTCGCTTCAAGGTTGGGTGACGAAAATATTTTGGAGTGTAAAAGTATCTCGTCAAATGGGGCACATGTGACGAAAAATGACAAAAGATAAAGTCAAAACTCAAATTATGATAAAGATGACAAAAATACAAAATTCGATTTTATTTAGATTTAATTAAAACAAAATTTAATTTTAAACATTTTTTTACATCGTAAATCATGTTTCTTAGTTGGATACTTGATTTTTGTACACAAAGTTTAGTAGGAATAGATGTTGGTTTCATAACTTCAAAATCTGTAGAATCATCTGATAATTCTGATTGTTGAAATGTTTCTTCATTTACTATTTTAATGGTGTAACCATACATCATCTAACATAAAAAGCTGTCATTATCCTTGTCATTGAATTTTATATTATTATTATGATAATAAATCCATCTTTAACCTAATCCCGTGTGTAATTATTTTTTTTTTTCCATATTTTATATTTGTCTCAATTTTTTTTTATTAATTTTTTCTTTTTATTTTTCTTTTTCTTTTAGCAAGTTATTTTCATTGTAAAGCGTTCCTGACTTGGTAAATAAGGGTATAACATCTAAGAGGGCACCCGCCAAGAATCGCTATCAAGGTACAATAGTGAAACTATATACTCATGGAAGTTACACTTTAGCATAAATCATTAGCACTTTAAATCGCATAAAATAAATTGTATTATTATTATATTGTGAATTGGACGTGATACCATATTTAATGATGACGACAAGACCACAATCTTCAAGTTAATCATTAATTTACACTCGGATGCGATCTTATACTATCACTGCTTGATTCATTATCGCTTTCATTAATTGATTTTGTTATTCTCATTATCATAAAGAAAATTTTCAAAGAACTTTTTTCCTCCTCAGAAGTACGTGATTTAAATGTTTTTTCCTTTTTGCAAGCAGCAGCATACTCAATACAAAGGAATGAATGAATTTAAATTTAATGGTTCTCTCCTTTATTAATAATTTACTATGCGTAACATTGGAAAAGGATTTTTCATTTAGTTGAGTGATCGATTTCTCGGCTATTTTGGGTAAATATTCTCTAAAACTAAGTTTAACGATGTTATCCAGTAGAAAAACCTTGGCCGGCTAACATTACTACCTAAATTTTGGTAATTTATAATTGTACAACAGCATATTTGGATAAAACTGGAAGAATTATCTTTTATTTCAGGATTAAAATAATAAATTCTATATATATAATTAATCGGGAAATTTTACTTTCCTGCGATTTGTTGATCAGTGGACACTGGTGTAAATGTCATTTTGGACGCTGGTGTCTGTGGCTTTTGAGATTGTTATATGATGTATGGACACCAGTGTCCGTGGTGCACATGTTACTTTTTAGTCATACAGATCCATGTAATAAGGGGTGTAAAATTGAATGTCTTCACACCCTTGTTCGATGCCCTTACTGTGTAGCAACCAAATTTGAGATATAGCTTTATCATATGAACAAAAATTTTAATAAACCGAAAATAATCTGACCCTCAAAGTTAAATTTGTTTAGCGTATCCAATTGTAAACAAAAGTAGAAATACATGTCCAAATAATTACATTATTATGAATATTTATAGTTTTGTTCACCTAGGTATGTCATTTACTTTAAAAATAAATAAATAGATATTGAAAATTTTCTTTTGCACTTTATTCCTACATAAATAACAATGATTAGAATAATTAGATAAGCAATAATATGTCAATTGCCAAAAAAGGAGAAGAGAAATGTAAGAGACATTTAATACTATTATTAAAATGCATCAACGAATTGTGATTAAAATTAGAGGTTGGAATCGACTAAAATAGTCGACTAAACTTTTTTTTTGAACAACTAATAGTCGACTACTAATACTACTAATACTAATACTAATACTAATATTATGCTAATATTATTATTATTGTTTGACCAATTACAAGTTTTGTGCTTTACCATTCAAAATGGAAAATTTCTATGCGGAAGAGTATCAATACCATCAACATGATAATGACAACAATAATGGTGGTGTTGTTGATGATAATTTTACATGTGAACGAATAAACACTTCCGATACAAGGTCCAATAGTTCATTGGCTTCAAGTTCCAATGATTTAAGCGGTGGTTCCAGAAGACCTTTAAAAAACGAATCGTAACACATGGTTTTGTGTGGATGTGTTTTGAAAAAGTGAAAGATTCAAATGGAAATGAATTCGTAATTTGCAAATTAAAAAACAAAATGAAATATTATTATCTATTATTAAAAAAAAAAAGTTAAGTCGACTAAAGAAATTTTGACCAATTAGTAGTCGACTAAGAATTCCAACCTTTACTTAACATAGGTATGCATTTTGTTGATTTAATTTATTTACTCCGCTATCCGTCCTTAGTAGATATGAACCGCGTGTTTGCAGTATTTAAAGTTAGTTTGCACAAGTACATGCATTGTTTGGAATGTGCAGATATAATCAAAATATTCCTGCACACATTTACATTAAAGATTTTAAATAAAGCTTAAATATGCACAGGATACGCATATAAATTTGAACATACAGCAGTACAATGCGTTGTTCTGTTCTTTTTTTTTTATAAAAAAAAATTGCTCGATTTTTATCCTAATATTTCAAAACTCGTATGTATATTTTTAAATATTTCCTTTTCTAATGCTGTAGTTGAAGGCATTGTTTCACAACAAAAAATTTAATCAAAACTAGAATTAGAAATCGTATTCAACTTTCTACTTTGCAAATATTACTTGTGATTGCAATTAGTGGGGCAGATAGTGAAGTTTTTGATTAGGAAAAGACTTGTCGATTTTGTGTGTTTACCATTTAAATAAAAATCTATATGCATAATATGCATCTATCTTTGGTTTATTTATATATTCATGATGTGAATTTAACATACATCGATATAAATGTAGTTTTTTTCTTTGCTAATCGTGAATTTTCGACTAGTTCCAAAAATTTTTTTGAATTTCTTATACAAAAACCTAATTATATTTTCCGCAATAACCAAAATATTAGGTTTCTGAAAAAAAAAAAGCTGGAAAGTTAGAATGATACTATTGTAATAATAGCCCAAGTCGCTGGTAAAAATAATTATTGATTGAATTGAATTTCATTACCGTTTTATAAACTAATAATTCTAAAGGTAAAGCCGTTAGAACTCTCGTGAGTGCCTTCTCGTTTTGTTTTATTCTAGATAAATACTATATCCAGAATAAAGGAAATAATGTAACACCACGTAATAAAACACTAAGAATTAATATACAAATTTCAGATATATATAAACTTACCATTTTGCATAAAATAAAGTTTAGCAAAGGATTGTTGTTTTGAATTAACTTGTCATTGCTGATAATGTTATTCTTAATTGTTTGAAATTTCTCATAAGATTTAGGTGCTTTTTTTTTTCAGTTTTTGTACATATCCAGAGACATCTTCTACATGTTTCACCAAATTTTGAGATTCAGGCTTGAGGTTCGATGTTTTCACCGCATTCTCTATAACTACTCGCATAACAATGTTTATCGAACCTATTATTATTGACTCATTTACAATCATTTTTATATTTTGGGATTGATTTTTGTTGTGGATTGTTTATTTGAAAATTTCTTAAAAATGTAATATTTTCGTTTTTCGATGATATTTTATAATGAGAAGAATTTTCCATACTCCTTTTATAAAAAAAGTTGGTTACACGATTCGGAATTCAATCTCAAATTAGTAGAGGAAATAGTAGTGATAGTAGTGTTGTTTTAGTGGTCATTCATTACATTTATTGTATAACTCTAGCCAATAATAAACTTGTATTGTCTATATTAGGCTTAAGGATGTGTTTTTTCGTTTCATTTTTTAATTTTAGTAAAAACATAATTTTTTCTATATTAGAAAGAAGTCTTCATTATTGATCAAATTAATTTTATCATCACTTTAATAATTAAAGTAATAAATGCAAAGCAACGGCATGGTGAATTTTGTTTCAAAAGGAAGCTTCCTTTTATAATTCTTTAGAAAAGGTGCATATTATTATTAAAATAAATTTTAATGATGGGTTGTGTATTAATTGAAATACCAGAAGCATTATAGAAGTAATAATAAAGCTGGAGTATAGTACAAGGTAAAATAATATATAATAATAAAGATTTTGAGATACTATTATGCGCTATACAAAAAAACTTGATGAATTAATAAAAATTGTTCATGGACACAGTGTTTCAATGTTTTATTTCTTTGTTATTATTAACAATTTTATTGATAAATCCGGTATTCTTGTCATACGAAAGTCTTGGGATTGGTATGAAGACTCCGGATTTCTACTTTTTATGAAAATGAAAAAAAAAGCGCGGTGCAGCAAATTTTATAAAGAGGATGATTTTTATTCCACAATAAATTTTACTTGCATCAGTGTTGTGACCCGAAACTCTGAGTTTAGGAAAAACCAGAAACAGAAATTAACAGAAACCACCCGAAACTAGTTTAGATTAGTAGTTTATGTTTATGTTTAGGTTTAGTTTTAGTTTTCTGCTTAGTGTAAGTTCATTTTCCGAAACGTTTCGGGAAGTTTCTGGTCACAACACTGACTTGCATACATGTTTAAATCATAATTATAATAAGGATTGGTATTAATTAATTGTATAGCAAAAAACATCTGCAACAGCAATTTTATTGTTTAGTGTTATTATTATGAACTTTTTCTTAAAAAAACGCTTATGTAAAAATTATAGAAATTTTCTGCTGACAAAGTGATTCAAGATCAAGCTCATCGGCTGTAATTAATATTTTCAATATATCAATTCCGGTAAGTTTGTCTAATTCAATTTTACATGCATACAAAAATCTTTTAAAGATAATAATTATTGATAAGTAATATATATTCAAAAATAAATAATAATGCAATAATAGTTTAGTTCAACTTACTTGAGAATATTTTTGATATTTATTTTTTTAAAAATAAAATATAATAACCATTTTCTTTTTGTTGCAGTTATGATGGATGCATGAAAATCTTTTATGTTTGGGTTGCATATATTTTTTTTTACATTTCATTAAAACATTTTCTTAATATTGTTGAGTCCATTTGATTTTTTTAAAAAAAAATTTGAGTTGTAAAATGGGACAATCAAATGCTATGCCATAGAAAATAAATTATTCGTATTATTATTATTATGTGCGAATATTTAATACTTACTATTACATGGTAGCTTTCGACGGGATTGTTTTTCATTTTTCAAAAATTTTTTTTTTACATAATGAAAACGAATATAAAAATAATCTTTATCAAGTAAAATTATATAAATAATCGTCTGTAGAGCTCCAAACGAGTCAAATCAAGTCAGTATCCAAGTCACACATTTACAAAAGCTTATTAACTTTATTATTTATTATTAATACATTTATCCTTTATCCAGTTTTTATAGACATACAAGCATGAATTGTATCCTTTTTAAAATAACATGTCTTTTAGTTATAAAACAGCACCCACTGAAAGATTCTTTCAACTGGCATATGTATATAAATAAAATTCTTATTTGTTATTGCGATAGTCACATGCTGTCTTGAAAGATTTGGGAATGTTGCCTCATGTATCTATGATAACCATAAGTTGTTATTGTTGGCGAAAAAAATTATTGGATATTTTATTGTTGTTGTTGTTGCTGTCTTACCTTCCACCATTGTAATGGATCAGTTTTAAAGTTCACAATTGGTTACCGAGATATTCTATCAATTCATCCTCATTTTGAGAATTAGTTATTAAATCCAAATGAGAACGAAAAGAAATCATTGGTGTTGGTTGTAGCGTTGGTGATGTAGCAGTATTGCAATAATATATATCTGCTAGTTGTGATAAATCTATATGTCCATTTTTGAATTTCGTAGTATGATAGTTATAAATGAGGATCCAAGACTAAATAAATAAGAAATGGATGGATAGATGAATAAATAAAAAAATTTAACATATTTCCATAATTATTTAAATTATATACTGTATATTACTTGTAGCAATTGGATTCATCTGTTTTGGCGTAATATATTTTGAGTTTATTACATCCACTTCTGGAAACATTTTATTAATTGTGATTATTGTTAGATTATTTCCAAGATGCTCCAACAAATTATTATATATTGGTACAGATGAAGAAAGGTGTTCTTGGCTTTATTAAAGATCTGAATATTTGATAAATTGATTAATTATTGATTAATCAATAATAAATTAATAATTAAAAAAGACCTACTTCAAGTACCGACTAATTTTTAACCATTCATCCGTAAAATGAAAAAATCACATAAATCATCTTCAGTTAAAAATATCTCATTCACAGGCATGTTTATGCATATATTTTTATTTAAAATAAAAAAAATCAAATACAATTCACATACAGATTTTAGTTCTAACGCATGTTGTTGCATCTGAAAAGTGGAGTTCCGATGTGCCTTCACGTCTAAAATAAGATTCAATTTTTTTTAGGCGCACAATTCTATAAAAAGGAAAAGGGTATTATGGAAGTTAATTATTTAATCTGCTAAAAGTGTAGTCAAAAAAAAAATAAACCTGGAAAACGAGCAAGAAATGATGACCTGAAAAGAGCAAGGTATTTTTCTCGACTTTTGTGGGGATGATCTGATCTTTACAATTTATCTTCCTTAGCTATGAATGAGAAACGGTTAATATTATTTATTGTAAATTTTATTAGATTAATAATACGCAATAAAAAATTTAAGCTTACTTTGGTATTACTTCGTTAGCATCAAAGTCATCCATCATTGTTATTAAGATCATCATTAATGTTACTGCTACCATAACCATAATTTCGTCACCATTGTCACCATTGTCATCAACACCACCACCATCAACACCACCACCATTACCGTTGTTGCCATCCAAAAATTCATCTTCACCTGGATAGAGGACAGGACTTCTTTTGTACAGTAAGATTTATCACATGTGCAATGCAAGCATACATGATTTTTCTTATGATGAAAGTTTATACAATCTTCATTACAATATTTTTGTATTTGAAAAATGTCTCGTTATTGGCGGAATTATTCCAAGGTTTACTTGCTTTACTTGCTTTAGAGGATTATGTTCATTTCTCGAGTAATTTTTACCGCAACCCAAATTGTTTTGCCAAAACACGTGTAACATTGAATTATGGCACGTGTAACAATTACGACTGTCTAAATATATCTATTCGAGTTTATAGTTGGGAGGAAAAATGATTATGGCAATAATTACATATTCTTTATATGAATGAACATAATATATGCCATTTGGCCTAAATAGTTCAAATAACTACGGAGATAATTTTGGCAACTAATTATGGCATTGCATTAAAGATGCAGTGCAGTCAATTATGGCGAAACAACTATAGAAACCAAATACAATGCAAAACAACTGAAACATAAATAATTGGTTAAAATGCAATTAAATAAATTTTATGGATTGGCAGGGAAATTAATACTTACCCTTTTCTTCTATCTTATATAAATTGCAGGTTAATGCATCCACTAATTAAGATTTTTTTCTTGATCGAACACCCACAGCTTACAAATAAAAATAAATCTAATTACTAAAAATGAGGGAGAAGATAATTAATTGAACATAGAAGTCAATGGTCTTGAACACCTGTCTGTTGTCATTTAACAAATTCCTAATTGACAAATATATCAAAAATATCCTGATGTAATATTGCCAAAGATATATCATGGATTCTAGGGCTAACTGGTGCGAGAAGGAAAAAATTTTTTTTGATCCATATTTATTATTATTATTATTATTATTACGCAAGTGTTGGTAACGCGTTTTCGGTAATGCAGCATGGCACTAATCAATATTAACAAGTGTGTGAAGTTTTTGAAAATCACTATTAGACCCTCATCCTACCCCTATCAGAGTTATACACACCTAGACAAAAGTTTTCGGACATCTGTTTTCAACGATTGCGCAAAACTACACATAATAACTATACATGAAATTTTATCAAAATGTAGCTTAGGTTTTAGTGAATATATATGTAAGTTTTGGTATTCTTAAAATGTCTAGAAAAATTCTAATTAAAAAAACCCGAAACTCGACGATGATGATCAACAAAATATTTATTTGTATTAATATCAAGTTGGCCATCCATTTACTAGAAATGCATGCCTCAATCCTTCTAGATATGCTTTCTATTAATTTGTAGTAAGTTTTGTGTGGAGTTCTTGACCATACTTCTTGTAAAGCAAGATCCCAATTCGTTGGCATTTTTTGGGTATTGTGTTCGCTTATCTAATCACCTCACTAATTCACTCCAAAAATCTTCGATTGGATTAAGATTGTGAAGACCAATTAGGTGCTTTCATGAAGGCTCAAAATTTTTCCTCTTCGTTTTTAAAATTTTTGATTTTTTTATATTTACTAATTTTTTTAATTTTATTATAAATTATTTATGCTAGCCAGAAATCACAAAATTTTGCATTCATATTCTAGATAATCTAAGCTTACAAGTTGACATAATTTTTTATTTTTATTATTATATAGAATTTGGGTAAATTCGAGAAACAAAAAATGACATCGGCAATTTTCGTTGAATTTTGGATTCTTTTGATTAAAATATTTCTAGACGTTCTAAGAATATCAAAATTTACATGCATATTCGCTAAAACCTAGGCCATCAATGATATATTAATTTTATATATAATTATTATGTGTAGTTTTACGCAATCAGTAAAAATAGGTGTTCGAAAACTTTTGTCTAGGGTGTTATTTTGTTGATTTTACTTTTGGATCCGTTTTTGAGTAATAAATATGAATCGTATGTTTGTTTGACGCAACGAATTAATTATTGCGAGTTGATATTAATACCATTTATTTGTAAAATTGATTTATGAATTTAACATAAATCAATAAAAATGAACTTTTTTCGTTTGATTTTCTTCGTAATGTTGAGTTTCGATCAGTTCCAAAAATTCAAATTCTAATTATATCTTTTCCGCCATAACCAAAATACTAGATTTCTGAGAAAAAAAAACTGGAAAGCTTGAATGATACTCTTGTAGTAATATCCCAGTCGCTGGCAAAAAGAATCATTGATTGAATTGAATTCATGATTTAATGCTTCTAATACTAAAGTCGTTTGAGCTTGCATGAGTGCCTTCTCGTTTTGTGCTATTCCATATAAATACTAGATTCAGAATAAAGGAAATGATGTAACGTCATGTTGTATTTACGTGAAAATGAAATTATGTGAATTCGCAATTCACATATGTGGAATTCAAATTTACATATTAATATTAATATTAATATGTGAAATTCAAATTAGCCAATCAGAATTTCACCCCATTCCATAATATTTCAATTTCAATTTCACATACAACAGTCACATAAGAATTAATATTAATATACATGTTTTTACAGGATCGGAACTTAAAATTGCTTGAAGGTGAATTTAGCTTAACTTATACTGCCGTGTGAACAAGAGGTCATATATTTATTTGACTATGGTAAAAATAAAAATGGACTTGTTTATTTAAAGTTCAAAATCTTGTTATTTGCTATGATGTAACTAAATTATCAGATGATGGCGATTATTCATGGTTTAATTTGTGTTCTTGATGGAAGTTTAAGGTATTATTTTAACTAGTTTTCTTGGTCTTCGGTTCCAAATTTTGGCACCGGTCTTTGTGTAAAAAAAATTTTATTACTAATTTTTTTGGGAAAGCGAATTTAATTGATGACAATAAAAATAATGATAGGGTATTTACTGGTGAATTGGTTTTGGGTACAATTTGATTACTTCTCAGTCAAAATCTGTTATTATTTTCTTTAATTCAAAAGTTATTCGAATATTAGATGAAATTGCTAATTGTTGTGCCAACAAATAAACTATTACTGTTACCGATGAGAACGAATTAAAAACCTTTTATTATTTGTCACACACCGCGATTGATAGATGGAAAAAAGAAATAATTAAATTTTATAAATATATTTTTTTTAGTTTGTTTATTTATTTATGTTTGTTCTGTTTTTCGAGATGGAAACGCATTTTTATATTCAAATATTACGTTTGTATAGAATTGTTCTGATTGCATATTTTTGTTTCTAAAAATTTGCTTTCAAATAGGTATAGCTTTACTAAATTCACAAGGCATATCAATTATTGTAAAAGATATTAAGTTAAAGATGTCATTTTTTAAACTATTATCACCAGAAAGAAGTGAATTTACAGATAAAATTTATTATGGAATGTATAATAATACTTTAGCAAATCCACATGATAGAAAAAGTCAAGGAGCTTTCTGAAAATGAAAAAGAATATTGTAGAGAAAAGTTTATTTATAATTTTGAATTACATGGTGTAAGAAATAAATGGGGCAAGCCAAAAGAATGCAATAAGTGTAAATCAATAAAATACTCTGATAGATTCTATGAAGGTCGCATTAGTTTACAACTACAGAGTCTTTTTGACACTTGGACATCTAGTAATAACTTGGTTGATAATTTTATTCAATAATGTCAAATTCTTTCATCTTTGCCAACTCACATTTTAGAATGGATATCTTTTGAGCAATTTAAAGGAATAAAAAAATTAACTGAAGGTGGATTTAGCTCAATTTATACTGCTGAATGGACAAGGGGATATATAATTGATTATAATGAAAATAAAAAAGAATTATTTATCGTGAACAGAAAGATGTAGTATTAAAAAGTTTAAATAATTCAAGTAATCCAACAAAAGCATAGGGGTTGGCACCGTTAACCGTTTAACTGTGGTTAACCGGTTAACTGCAATTAAACGGTTAACCGGTTAAGATCTTTTTTTAACCGGTTAATTCTTTTTGATTAACCAGTTAAAATTAACTGGTGACCCGAAACTCTGAGTTTAGGGAAAACCAGAAACAGAAACTAACAGAAACCACCGAAACTAGTTTAGGTTAGTATTTTATGTTTAGGTTTATGTTTAGGTTTAGTTTCTGCTTAGTGTAAGTTCATTTTCCGAAACGTTTCGGGAAGCCAAAAGAGTTTCTGGTCACAACACTGGTTGATGGTAATTCATTTTTGGCACTCGCTTCTATTTCAACCTTACGAATTAAATCAAGCTCGTTTTGGGTATCTGATCTATTATTAATTATTATTTGTAATAATGATAAATAATATTATATATATATATATATATGTGTGTATAAAAAATCAACTGTTAATATTGTTCATACGTAAATTGATCGATTTCTACTACAACAGGTAATCCAAATTAGCTAGAAATAATATACAATATTAAATAAATAACATTGAATATTTATAATAATAATATAGTTATTAATTATTAGCAGCAGTTACAGCATGTACACTAGCTGGACAAAAGTATTTGATCACGTATTTACACTAATTAATAAAAAACCTACATAACAACATTACACGAAATTTATAACATTATGCACCTAGGTTTTGATAATTATATATTCAAAATTTCATGTTGCTAGCTTCCAAATATCAAGATTAATAAAAAAAACTAAAACCCAAATAAAAAATTTAAACATTTTGCTATATTTTCACATTTTTTAAAAAATTTACTTAATAAAAAATTGTAAATTTTATATAAATGAGGGATATTGTTTTGAAGAATAAATATATGAAATTTCATATTTCTATCGTGTCTAGAAAATTAATGATTAAAAAAAAATAGTGATAACATCTGAATCGCAGTCAACGAAAAATTAATAAATTTCAATCATGAAAAAAAACCATTTTTATTAAATTTGATACATGCATGAATATGAGAGCTAGCAACGTGAAATTTCGAATATATATTATCAAAATCTAGGCACATAATGTTATAAATTTCGTGTAATGTTGTTATGTAGGGTTTTTACTAATTAGTGTAAATACGTGATCAAATACTTTTGTCCAGCTAGTGTATGTCACCAGTTAAATGTAAATTAAATTCATAACTTGTGAATTCCTTTTTGTAGCAAATGTCGGCCCTTGTGATGATTGCCTCACACAAACAAAACTTATTTTGCCTAGGTGTAGAGTTTAAGCTATACCAATTGTGGTTGTTGATTTTACTGAGAGATGTAGGCGTTATACTTTATACAGTAAGTATATGTAAATTAATTATTATTAATGTTTACATCATGATAATAATTATTAATTATTAATTAACTTTACCCAGCTTTTAATATATTTTATATTTATGTTATATTATTATTATGAGAAATAATTAAGCAAGCCTCATTTTTGGTTAAGCCTAATTCTTGAGCCAAAATAGCAATTCGTTTTGGAAATTGACTAAACGTAATATCAACATCACATGTAATATTTTCAATTGTCACTGTCGGTTTTATTATCAGCTGGTCACAGACTTTGCAAAACGAGTTATACAAGATTCTTTGGTCGCATAATCGATGGTATTCAATTATGTAGATGAAATTTTCATTTACTATTACTCTTTTACCACGGAAATTGTATTTTCAATATTAATATGAAAGGAATAAATATGAATCAGTTATGTTGTATATAGAGGCATGCTCTGCAAGTTCAAAAAATTAGGTTTTATTACAAAAATATCTACTATTAGGTTTTATTATATTTGGTTTCCCTTATATTTGTGATTATATTTGTTTGGTCCCTTTGCCATAACTTTTCCTAAATCATATTGTTGGTCGTCTACATATGCAACAATGATAGTTCAACGTTGGAAATTGTAGCGATCCAGTTAAAATGGTCACCAGTTTTTTGATTTAGTTCCATGTCCATTGATTTTTGAATTTAGAAGAAGGTAATAATTGGATGCTGTGCTCTGGAGTTGTTTCTGGTTGATTGTCTTCTTTTTGTCATTACTTATATCATTAACAATTTCTTCAATATGATGTTCTTAAAATCATAATTAATTTCCAAGTTTGGTTTGGAAGTTCGTAAATTAAGGAACGCAAATTGAGATGATCATGTTGCTGTTTAGCAATTTTATTTACCATACTAAAATATATCTGTAAAAATATAAATCGTTCTGAATTGAGTATAAAATCATCACTAGACGCCTTAAATTTTTTTACTGGTTAATTTATCATTCATGCCTTCTCGAATACTTGGTGGACCATTTCAATTTGATACGTTTATTTATTTCTTTGAAACTTGATTTTTCAATACATGAAATGCAAACAACTGATAACTTAGTAGATCATCTTAAAAAATAGTTTCCACTTGCCTGGTTGAGATTTCTTACACGGGACCAAGAAACGCCGACAAGATATTTTTGTTATTCTCTTTCGAGCTTCTTATAGCAGGTTTTAACGTTGTATTTATGTTTTGATGTTCGTAAAAAGTTTTTTTATAAGCATAGATGTTATACCGATGGCGTGGTAGAAAGTCCCACATTGTCGTCTATTTATTCCACTAGAACAGACATGCTTGTTTTAGATATATCAACCATTATTGTAGAACCAATTTGTGATGAATTTATTTATTGTATGAATAGCTAGCTCGTCCTTTAATGTTGTTACCATTTTCTATTTTTGGGTTAATTAACTATATGGTAAATATGCAGCTTGAAATTTTTTTTTACAACTATTAAATATAGAGGTTACGAAGAAATTCAACATTTGTTATCAAAAGATGGATATGAAAAAACAATCGGTAAAAAAATTATCCTGATATAACAATAATAATAATAGTATCAATAGTATTTAATCTATGTGTAACATAACATTTGTTACACTTGTAAATTAATATTGCAGCGAGCCCGCAATATTGCTTTGGAAATCTTTATTCAGACAATGAATGAATCATTGATAATTAATGCAGGAATTACTCTATCTGATGTTCATTGTAAATATTCGTTATTGATATTCGATAGGATGCGTTCGATAAATGAAATATCAAAATTAGAAGCTGTTGTCAATGAAATTGATTTTGGTTATGAGGTGGGTGAAATCTATAGTGAGTGATCATATATATATTTATAGATATGTTGAGATTTATATACATGTATTATATTATTATATATTACTGATTATTATTTTATCAGATGGATAGTAGTCATATTAAGGGCTTGATAATCAACTTCTTTGATTGTTCGAGCCACCAGGTTTTAATGTTAAGAACAATTTATTATACGGTCTTGTTAAAGCTAGCAAAATTATAGTATATCTCTCGATCATTGATTTACACAACAAAAATGAGTGACAAACTCACATGTCTAGAGAATAATTTACTTTCCATCACCCTAACGGTAGCATAAAAATTCCTAATTTAGTAGCGGTTGACTAAATTTGATATAATATATAACTTAAAGAATCATTATTCTAGAAGTGAAGCAGAAGAGCAAGCATTAATTACAACAATAACATAAAAACTTTCTTTTGAGAAACTATCAGGAAATTTATTAATATATGCGTTTATTAATATTAAATATTAATGTGTCATTTTTATGTCTTGATTGGAATATTTATCACTCGTCCATTTACTAAACAGATCATATATGGCTACACTTGACAAGTCTCAATGTTATTTCTGACAAAAACTATCTTATTGATTCGAATCCAAATCTTAATCAGAAATTGCTCCAAAAATCTAAGCACTCGGGAAACATATTATGACGCTCTAAATCGGAACATCTTAAAAATGATTATAGTTTCTTGACGAATTTTAATTCCAACGAGGAATGAAACAAATTATCCAAGAAAGCTTAAGCAATAATAACAAAGGTACAGAAATAATTGTTTTGGTGCGAGAATTGTGTTGTTGATATGCTGTCCACGCCCCGTGCACAGCATATGACACAGAAATGTAACACCACATCTAATCTAGAACGCATTCTTTTTTCACACACATTTTAATTATTCCTAATATATGGACTTTGGTAATATTTATTCGTGAAATTCAAAAATAAATGATCGATAATAATAATAAGATACCGAAATTTAACCGAATCAGTTGATTTCGGTTAAATTTCGGATTCAAATGTTTTGTTATCAAATCTAAATTTTAAAAATTTTATATAAAAAGAATGAATTGGATCTTTTACGTTTTTAAAAAATTAACATTAAAATAAAAAAACTCAATTAATATAAAATCATACATACACACACACACGTAATAATTAATTATTAATCGAAAAAAAATCATTTTAAAAAAAATGTCTTTACATCATAAAATCTTTTCATCGTTGGAAACATTAAAATTAATTAATTCTTTGTTAGTTTTTTTTCTAACTTTCGTAATAATTTACGTGACGCAATTTTATTACAAGTACTATACAAGAATCAATCCATTGCCAGGGCCATTTCCATTCCCACTTGTTGGTAATTTGATTGGATTCTATAGGAATAATGGAAGGATACAAAAATATCTTATTGAATTGCATCATAGATATGGAGCAACATTTGAGTTGTATATTGGGGGAGTTAGAAGAATAGTTTTTTGTGATGTGGAAAATGTTGATAAATTGTGCACAGCAGCTAAAAACAATGCTTTTTTGATTAGATTGCCTTATACCGAAGGGTTTGATGAACTTGGTATAGCTGGCAAAGGATTAATTATGAATTATAACGTAAAATCATGGAGATATAATAGACAATTCTTCACACAAGCCATATTATCACCCGGGTTTGATAATAAATCACTTGATTGGGCAAACAAATTATTAAAAGAAATGGAACAATATTGGCAACTTTTAAAAAACGAAAATGGTGATAAGGTTGCGATCAATCTCGATGCCTGGGTTCATAGATTTACTCATGATATTATAACAGTGGTGACGACAGGCGAAAGAGCCTATTCAATGGCGTATTATTTAAATACACTCAGCGACAAACATCTTGATTATCCATCAGCACTTTTGGAAGATTCAGAAAGATTTATTAAAGGAGTTAGAACTCATTTTCTTGGCGGTCCGATTTTTATAGCAGTGCCAAGTATTATTAGACATTATTTGCCAATGGTAAAAACCAAATCCAAAAAAATAGTTGATAATAGAGTGTATTTGAGCGGAAAAATTGATGAATTTGTAAAAAAACGTAGAAAAGAAATTGAAAATACACCATTGGGTCAATCAATAGAAAGTCATGACATGTTAACGTCAATGCTTGTTGCCAATACTGCACGTGATTTTAATCATATTAAAACTGTTGAAGGTGAAGGATTAAGCAGACCATTGACTGACGAGGAAATAGGTTCTAATATGTTGGATGCACTTTTGGGTGGCACCGATACTGTAAGGATATTTATTTATAAATATATTTTTATTATGCAGCTTTAATTAATTAATTAATTAATTAAAAACATTAAAAATAGACGGCAAATTTGTTTTGTGTTATTGCATATTTTCTTGCCAAAAATCCACTCGTGAAAAAGAAAATGGTGGAAGAAATAGATTCCATATTTGGTGACGATAAAACACGCGAGATAACACACGATGATTTAAATAAACTCAAGTATTGTGATGCAATCATAAAAGAGGTAGATCGATTGGTGCCCATTGTTAATACGGTTGCAAGATACAGTACACGTAAGGAAGAAATAGGAGGATATGAATGGCCGGCTGGTACATACTTTAATTTGAACGTACCGGCAATACATCGCAACCCAAAGTATTGGAAAGACCCAGAAACATTTAATCCAGATAGATTTTTGAATGGTGAAAATGAAATTACCAAGAATTCATTTTTAATGTTTGGTGCAGGATTAAGAATTTGTCCTGGTAGAAGATTGGCGATACTTGAACTGAAGTGTTTGATGGCTTCGATTTATAGAAATAGTGATTTAAAATTGGTAGATGAAAATGCCGGAGTACCAATCAATTCTTTTGCTATTACTATGTCTCGAGAAATATTGGTTTACGTTGTTGCCAGAGAATAAACAACGCCTCTTATTTGTCAATAATTTTATATTTTATATTTTATGTTATATGTTACCATCTTATATTATATATATTATATACATTTTACAAGTATATATCATTTTATATTTTACTTAATATTTTTTTAAGATAGATGTATATAAAAAATTCATTTATTATTTTATATGAAGGAGAAAAAATAATTTACAAATAAATTAAAATATTTTAAATTTTATAATACAAGAAAATCATATATAAATTAGATGCTCAAAAGATTTTTTTTATTAAAAAGAAAAATTAAAGAGTAATAGTAAAAAAAAGGTCAGAGGTTAAAGTATGCGGTATGTCTCCATTGTATGACTTTAATATTATTAATATTAAATATTAATGTTGTGCATGAATGCATGGCTGGCTATTTTTATTTTATATTTTTTGCAAATTATTAATTAATTTATTTTTAATCGGAAGTTCTTTTGATTAACCGGCCAGATCTTTCATGTATTGCACGTAATTTTTCTAATTATTTAAAAAAAAATTTGATTATTCAATTAGACATTATTATTATTAAAAATTTTTGTGATAACCAATAATATATATATATAAATAGACACTTACTGTAACGTTCTAATTTACGATTGAATATGGCCGATGAGAAATCATCGTCTACACAATCACCAATCATTTCGGGCTCTTCACAAATAGCATTATTCTCGGGGAATATAACTACAGGAGTCCATTGGGAATTTGTTTGATTTGTTTGTTGATTATCTGTATCTGATGTAATGGATGATGAACTGAGCTTTATTGATGAACCCGACATTTTTTTATATAGTGTGTTATATATTTATTTATAATATATTTATTATAATATATAAATATTATTATTATGTTGAATTTTATTTTAAATAAGGTTTGGAGGTTCAGAAAAATATTTGAATAATTCCTATTAGAATTCTTTTATTCTTTGTAGAAAGTAGTTTTTTTAATATTTTTTATTATTAAGAATTTTTTTTTTTTTTTCAGAAAAATTCTTCCACTTATATTTATACAATTTTTTTTATCATGCAAAATTATTATTATTTATAAAAATTAGTTCTATATGGATGTTCTATTATGGATTTGGTAGTGAGCGTGATTTTTTGTTTATGTTCCGGAATTCTAAAATTCTTTTTTATCGTATGCTTTTAAATAGAATATTTAAAAGGAATATGTATGGAATATTTACAGAAATTCTTTATTTAGTGTACTAATAATTAATTTTTATTTTTAGCGATTGGATGTCGCCATTTTTTTTTAATAATAACCAATAAAAAAAATGATTAAATTAATTTGTGTTCGACTTTTGTGTTTTATTGTTATTTTGTGTTCATTTTGTTTGTGATACCTTTAATGATAACTGGAAAATCACTCCATTCATTCATCTCATTTCCGAGCTATCTCGGAATTATTTTTTGGAAAAAAAATCCTTTCTTCATTCAACAAACTCCATTACAACTCAGTATGATGTACACGTACTCCTTTCTTGTACAACATAAACGTCATTTAAATCACCTGCCAACTAGTGCGCGTGATCTCATTTTCCATACAATATATATATTATGCATTATTCATATAGTAAATATATGATGATTCCATGTATAAGAATAAACAACAAGCGAACAAGCCCTCTCTCTTCATTTGATATTAATATTAATATTAGAAAAATCGGCATTTTCCTGACTTGTCGAGTTGTTTTTGACCTTTTGAATAGAAATAAAAAATGCTTTATTTGAATCAGCAATTGGAATAAGGCGACATTACTAAATTAAGAACACTAAAGGATTACTATTACTATATTATTATATAAATTTATTTTTATTTATATACCCCTAATATTTCAATCTGAATTGTCAAAAATTCTATCCTTTTACGTCACAATTTTAATAAGTATTAACAACTTGAAACATAAATATGAATTCGTCTATCTCGTCTATAAAAAATAATAGCCGCGGAATGTTTAGTAATATTAATATTGATATACATATATAGTTCGGGCGAATTTATAATAATAATAGAATCGCGTAGATCGTTACCGTATTAGTCATAAGGGAATTGAAATTTCTTTATTATTTGAAGACAATTCTGAGTTTGATAGCCTATAGTATGACATGTGTTTGACAAATACAGTAACACATTACCAATCCAGATTAAAAATTTGCCAGAAAATTTAAAAAATGCTTGCTTTTCTTTCTTTTACAAGCAAATTTCTTTCTTGACCTTTTGCTTCGTCATAAAACTTACAAATCTCATCTCTACGATAAAATAATCAATACAATAGAGCCTGTCTAGAAAATTTAAAACAAAAATCAATCAAGTAAAAAATTAATTGTTGATAGGAAGTTGTGGGGGAGTCTTAAACACTTACTTGATAAAAAGATTGAGCCGGACTCGGATTTTCATTTAATAAAATGTCGGCTGAAATCCACGAATTGTGTAGAAAAGGAAAAAATATTACTGCATCTACCATCATAAACTTCCACAAAGAAAATGAATCATACCAAGAAAATGATAGATGCAACCCGAGAATGGGTTAATAAAAAGAAATAAAAGAGGACGAAGATGATAATGTCGTGAATGGTAATCTTTTTATAGTAAAACAATGAAAGTTTATACCAGAGTGACAAAATGTCTTTGTATCCCCCAATGCAATTGCTACCTTATTTATCTTGAATCAACAAAAAATAAAATAAAATGTGACATACCTTTTGTTATTGTTCAATCCTTTCTTTGTATGTGGCATACCTTTGTCTATTATATGTTTTTGAAGTTGATTATGAGTCAACACATATGCCTTTTCTTAAATTTATAAATAAATAAATAAATAATCACATCGTTCAAGTAATAATAATACCAAGAAACTTTTATTTTATAAAAATAAAATGAATAATCTAGCATATTGAGTTTGAGTGTTAGATCTAGTAGAATCCATCCTTTCATTCCTCCTATATGATCGCACCAATCATGTTCCCTTTTGTAGTGACAATTAGGAGTATAGAGACTTCAACAGTTCTTCTAACCCTTATTTCAATAAAGAAAGTAACAAGTGCTCCTTTAAAATTGTGTCTAGTGATAGCATATACCCCAGGATTATTTTGCATAATAAATTGATATATAAAGTTGTAACATTAGAATGATATCTAATAACATGGATACAGTCGGAACTCGCTACAGTGGGCCCTCGGTTCCATGTGCAATTTTTTATTTTTTATTTTCACTATAACGAGAAATAAAAAAAAAAAATCGGAGAAAACAAAAAAACTCCAATGGAATTTAATTCCACGAAGTTGATCCAACATTCACCCTATATTTATTAAGTACGGTTATATTAATCAAGTATTAAATATTTTATTAGTATTTATTTGTATTTAAAATAAATATTTATTTATTACTTTAACACAAATATTTTTTAAAAAATTACTTTCGAAATATTTTTAATTTAATATTTATTATTAGTATGAAGATATGTATTAATTAAGAATTTAATTATTAAATAGTATTTAATAAATATAGTTATTTACAAAGTAAATTTCCGGTTTACTAAAATTTGGTGTAATATGCACTGTATTTGTCATTGAAGCAATAGTATAATGCTCAACATGCTTAAGAATAGCACATTTATAAAAAATTTGCTAATAGTTGGATGCTAAACTATGGAGAAATTAAGATGGTAAAACAAAATAATAATAAAATATAAAAGTATAAATAAAAATAATATGACAAATCCAAATAAAACAAACTTTTTAAATGGAATTGCAATCTAAATTGTGAATTGTTTGAATTAACCCCATATGGACTCTACTGCGATTTGTAAATATATTGATTATCATATTATTATTTCAAAAAAAAAAAAAAAGCAAGATAGTTAATAGATGTAAAGAATTTGTGAAGAATTGCTTTAAAAATGAGTTAAACACTTTACTACAAACAAATACTTAATTGTGGTAAAAAATATAAGTTATTCTTTATTTTTTTAAAAAATAATATCATATTTATGATATAAGAAAAATACAGATAATCTCATCTATCTGAATATTACTAAACATAATTAGCAAAAATACTTCAAATATAAATTGATTTGTTCACTGTTAATGTTTAGTTATTTTCTTAATTTATTCATTGTATATACTCATGATACAAAAAATGTAAATTGTTATAATAGAATAGTTAACATAATGAGGCAAATATAGAGTGAGAGGAAGAAAAGGTTAAAACTTGGTATTCATTGACAATTATAGTCTTCTGCACCACTGCTTTATGTAATTGTTCTTTGAGAGATATTTCGTTTTCTTTTATGTTTCTATACTGGTCAATTTCATGTTGTAGTTTGTCTCTTTTTTGTTCTAAATTCAATAATTAATTATTATTATCATTATTACATGTATATTTCATAATATTTTTTATATTTAACCAACATGATTTTTTCTTGTAGATGCCACCCAAATTAAAAATCTCAAATCCCAAATCTCAGATTACCGTCCTATATAAGGAATGGATTTTCACAATTGATTTCAATTTTTTTTATACAGTTTAAAATACTTTTACAAGGGT